ACTTAATAAAAGAGTTTTCTCTGCTGGGGAAATAAAAGTGAAATAATAAAGAAAAGGCCAGTTGAGAAATAGGGAATTGCAAACTTTTCTTTTCTTTCTTTTTTTTTTTTTACGTTTTTATTGTGAATTAAATGAAGGTTTACAGGGCAGACAGCAGTTTTACATTCAACAAATCTTACTTCATTTCATTGCAATGATTACAATCCTTTCCATGTACCATCAGTTAACAGTTGTTGTTGTCAGGTGCCATCGAGTCGGAACTGACTCATAGCGACCCCATGCACAGCAGAATGAAACAATGCCCGATCCTGGGCCAACCTTACTACCGCTGCCACACTTGAGTCCATCAATGATGCCACCTGGCCAATCCATCTCATTTGGGGTCTTCCCCTTTTTCTCTGACCCTCCACCTTACCCAGCATGACATCCTTCTCCAGCAACTGTTCCCTGACAATATGTCCAAAGTATGAGAGACGAAGCTTAGGCATCTTGGCCTCCAAGGAGCACTCTGGCTGGTTCTTTTGGCAGTCCATGGCACTTTCAGTATTCTCTTCCAACACCACAACTCAAAGGCATCAATTCTTCTACGATCTTCCTTATTCACTGTCTAGCTTTCGCATCCATATGAGGCTATTGAAAATACCATGGGTTGGTTCAGGCGCACCTTAGTCCTCAAGCTGTCATCTCTGCTCTTCAATACTTTAAAAAGTTCCTGTGCAGCAGATTTGCCCAATGCAATACGTCATCTGATCTCTTGACTGCTGCTTCCGCGAGTGTTGACAGTTGATCCAAGAAGAATGAAGTCCTTGACAACTTCAATCTTTTCTCCATTGATAAGAATGTTGTTTATTGGTCCAGTGGTGAGGATTTTTGTTTTCTTGACATTGAGATGCAATTCATACCAAATCTTTGATCTTCATAAGTAAATGTTTCAAGTCCTCTTCGCTTTCAGCAAGGAACATTGTATCATCGGCATATCGCAGGTTGTTAATGAGTATTTTACCTCTATTCCTTTTTTTTTTTTTTTAATGTACACATACAAAGCAAACATATATAGTCATTTAAATATCTAAATGGCACATTTTGCAAGCCTGCCTCCTGCACACAGGCACACAGCCTTTCTCAGTCCATGGGCCTAGTCTTCAGCTGCCCTGTTTGTGTATGTAGTCACCTCTTCCACTATCTCTGCTATCGCCACTTTTCTGGCTAGGATCTCACGTTCCACTTACACTCTTCCTTCTTGATGGTCTTGGGGTCCTCTGTTCCTGACATAAAAGATCAGCTACTCCCCCATTTTAGTTACACATCGTCTACATTTACAGTTGTGATGATTGCACTTAGTCCTGCTAACAATTACTCACAGTTGAATAATAAAATTCTATCCCTATCCTCCCCTATCCCCTTTCACCAGATCCATTTGGAAAAAAGGAAAACTATTCAGTGGGGATTCTACCTAACCCCCCTCATTCTGAAACTAAGCACCCTCATGAAAGCTTGTAAGCCAGCCACTTTGTGCCTTTATAACCCCCCATTCTTGATAGCCAATGTCTAAGTTGCCTGTCCCTATTAACTCAGTGTGTTTAGGAGACAAGCTTGATCCTTGATATAAAGAATGCTTCCATTTCAGTTGGAATTTAAGCAACTGCATTCATAAGCAAAGACCCAGTTCATCAAATTGTAGCAATTTATGCTTGATACCTCTATTAAATTTCTTTATCTTCATCTGGTTGAGTTCTGGTCAGCTAGCCAGCCAGGCTACATCAAATGGGTACTATCTGCAAGTTTGGGAGTTCTCATATGCCTCTCCCCACTTTAGACCAGCTGGTCACTTCACACTTAGCTCTAGCCCCAATGACTAGATAGTGTCCATGAGCTTGGGAGTTCACACGTCTCCCTAAACTTCAGACCAGCCAGCCCTTCCTCTTCTCTCTCATCTCAGTGTCATTTGGGTGTCAATGGAACATGGTCAAACTCAGGCCCTGGCTTCATTGCTGCATTTCCCCCACTTCCACCGACAAGTAGACCAGGGTGATCACCAGCGAGCATACAAGACTGCTTGTGGGTTCCCTTTGAGTCTTAGAAGGGGCTTTACCCTGATGGGCTGACTTTCCTTGCCTTGATGGCTCCAAAACAAACAGTTTGCTTGATATTCTAACAGCCAAACAGTCTGCTGAAAGCTTTTTTTCTCAGTATTTGAGCAAATATTCACTAAACCCAGAGAAATGCCCAAATGAATTGCTCCCAATAGCTAAACTCCTAAGGGAATGAGTGTTCATATGAAAAGGCCCTTTCCTGGTGTGTGTACAACATTCCTCTCTATGTACCCAGCTTCATGGCAGCCAGACTGGGTGAACACTTGCCAGAATGGACTGTATACCTATTTCCTTCTATGTCAGTTCAACGTAGGTGTCATTTAACCTTGCCAGTGGGTCATGCCTCCACTGCAAACACAGTGATGCTTCTGAGGGATTTTGGAAATGTGCAAAACTGTTGTCCCCAGCCTGATGTGCTTTATAAGGTCTCATGTCCTCTTTTTTTGTGATTTCTCTGGTTTTGTCTTTGTATAACCTATGAGCCACTCCTAGTCATCCTGTTCCTTGCCCTTTGGAACTTTTTAACAGTGCCCACCAAAATTGTTAGCATTTGCGTAGCATAGAAATTAATAAATGGTCCTGAGGGGCTCTCTCCTTGAGCTTTAGTCTATGGACTTGAAGTGACTGTTCTTGATGGCTTAGTGACCCCTTTTGCTTGTTTCTTATGCTTCTGGTACATTCTGGAAAATTTCTACTGTTTCATGCCCCACAACCCACTGGGGTGCATTTACCTAGGGCTTTAGTGGCAGGGTCACCCGAAGTAGGCCACTAAGAGACCCCACTAGCAGCGCTCCTACTCAGCTGGGTGATGAGGCACTCTGTAGCACATGCCGCTGCTGTCCAAGGCATTCTCAAGTCTGTGTACAATCTCAGCTTCCAAGGGCTGCAATGTGCTGGCTTTAAGGTCAGTTGCTCAGGGAAACTTAAAAGATGTGACCCTTCAAGGTGAGGTGTGCATGCTGGCTTCAGCTGTCCTGTACCCACATCCTGTCCTGCCCTCTGCTCGTCTTTGTCCAGTTCTCCTTCCCAGCATGCCCGCCTTCTGTCTCCACCCTCCTGCTCGTACCTGTCCATCTGTCCCTCAGGAACTAAGGCATACTTCCTGCCACTCCCCTCAGCCCCCAGCCTTGCTTAGGCAGTATTGGTAGGAGGGTTTTAGAGAATGCCAGAAAGGAGGGTAACTGTATATTTTCTGAGGGCAGGAAGAGTACCTCTGGCTCCTCTTTGTAGACCCTCCACAGGTTACCTCCGAGCCAGCCAGAATCAAACACAGGCAGCAGAGCCCCCTTGACAAGCTGGCCCACTATGGTTCCCACTGGCTAGGCAGCCGCAGATCAGAACAGTCATGAAGGTGTGTGTGGGGGGGGGGGGGGGGTGCCAGGCTGGGCAGAGTTGGCCTCTTGGCGGAAGTTACTTCTCTGAGCCTCAGCTTCTTTACCTCTAAAATGGGACAATAACCACTTTTACAGGATTATATCAATGAGTAAATGAGATGTCTGAAGGACTCATAGCTAATGCGGCTACTTGGAGCCGTTAGGTTCCACCCAAATGTTTCATGTTGTGGGTGATCCGTAAGTATGACAGCCTGGGCCTCATGGGATCGAGGCAGCCAGGTCCTGCTAGTCCAGCCCTGATGGAGGGCAACATAGATTGACCAATGGTCAAATCAGATTGAGGAGTCTGGGGGTGCAACAGGGAGTAACTGAGGTGCTCAGAAATGTTCCCTGATGCGGGCGATACCCTTCAGAGAGGTTTACAGCTCAGAGTTGTGTTTGAGACTAAGGAGCCCTCCAGGCTGCATGTCATCCTCGGTGAGCAGAATCAGCTAAGTCTGTGCTAGAGTGTATCTGCAGCTCTCCTCAGAGCAGTCACATGGGCAGGGCACTCTGCTCTGCTAGGTGCCTCATCCTCCCAGCAGCCATTGCCTCTGGCTTACAGACTCAGAGAGGCTCAGAGCCACGTTTGCCACCCACATGCACCATCCTTTTCTGATGGGTGCAGGACTTTGTGAGGAGCCCTGGTGGTACAGTGGCTAAGTGCTAGGCTGCCAATCAAAAGGTCAACAGTTTGAACCCACCAGCCATTGTCGCCGCCTGCTCCTGTAATGACTCACAGTCCTAGAAGCTGTAGGGCAACTATTGTGTGTCTGTACGGTCCTTATGAGTTGGAATGGAGTCCTGGTGTAGCGCTGCAGGATAATGTGCTGGGCGGCAAGGTCAGTTTGAGCCACAAGCTCAAACCCACCAGCCGCTCCTCTGAAACCTTCTATAGGCTCTCTATGGGTCAAAACTGACTCAACAGCATTTAGCAACAACAACAACAAATGAGTTTTGAAGGCCTGTGTAACTCATTTTTCTAGACAGGGAGGAGCAGACAGGGTTCAAACTGAGCACCAACCAGGCTGAGGACCTACAAACATTTATCAAAGGTGGAAAATCAGTTCTAGTTGCTGAAGCAGCGTTGTGTGGGGTGTGGGAGTGTGTGTGTGTTTTCATCCTCATGTATAAGGACCAATAACTCACTAGGTAATTCAAGCTGTCACAGAAGCTCTCTGGTGACAGAGCCTGTGTGTTCTATTGGCTAATGCCTCCCACCCAGAGGCCCAGAGAGGAGTTAAAATGCTAATTTTCAGGGACAGGCTCAGTCATTTTGATCCCATTAAAACACTAGCATCCTTCTCATGTAAAACTGGTACCTCAATTACCAACTAATTGCCTGATTATTGTGCAGAGACAGGAGACTTCAGTCAGCAAAGGGCTGCTTGGTCTCTAGGAGGCAGAACCAAGTGGAGTGTGGGAGTGTATTCCAGGTGGGACTGTGGAGGGGATCCTTCATCAGGAAGACAAAGGGGCCCATGGTCTCCTCTGACTCCAGTGGGGTGACTCTCATGCTTCCTCCCCGTGCCAGGTGCTGGAGACGTGTGTGAAGAACTGTGGCCACCGCTTTCACATCCTCGTGGCTAACCGGGATTTCATTGACAGTGTTCTGGTCAGAATCATCTCTCCTAAGAACAACCCCCCCACCATTGTGCAGGACAAAGTGCTTGCTTTGATTCAGGTAGGCCAGCCATTTGTCACCTCTTAGCAACGAATCCTCCTGCTTTCCCATACTTTAGATGAAAGAATGGAAGCTTCTAGGTTTCAGTGTATACTGAACAGCAGTTAATTTTTTTGTGCTCAACCCACTGAAACACTATGCTGTGGCTTAGCAGTCAGTTGACAGGACTCTTCCCTGAGCCTTTCTCAGTGTCTGGCTGTCTGCGGCCCCCACTGTGGTCTTGTCAGAGCCCTGCCCTGGGATGCACAGTCGTGTGGGAGCAGGGAAGGTGATAGGAACACTGTACTACCACTGGGCCCTGAAGCATGTGGAAGGTCAGCGAGCAAGAGGCATCCCAGTCCAGGCAGAGAAGACAGAGAACAACCCTGTCAGCTGGCTAGCGACCTGCAGCTTAGGGTTTCAGTGGGATGAGATAGAATATTAATTCGTTTTCAGTCAATACTTAAAAATCCAGAAGCTTCTGTTTTTTCATCCCATTTTCAGTTGTTCATTACTAATTGCTCTGTAGCAAGTTAACCTCAAAATTTATATGTGTATGATCTCATCATTTCTGTGGGTCAGCAGTTGAGGAGCCACTTAGGTGGGCAGTTCTGGCGTAGTCTCTCGTGCAATTAGACACCAGCCAGGGGTGCTGCCATCCAGAGGCCCAACTCAGGCTAGAGGGTCTGTTCCTAAGATGGGACACTCATGTGGTTGTTGACAGGAGGCCTCAGATCCTTGCTGACTGTTGGCAGAAAGCTGGCAATTCTCACTATGTAGACCTCCTGTCATGGCAACTGGCTTTCCCTAGAGCAAGGCATCCAAGAGAGTAAGGAAAAAGCTGCTGTGCTTGTTATGACCTCGTCTCAGCACTCACGCCCCATCATTTCCGTCATATTTTATTTGGTAGAAGAGGCTTACCAGGTCCTGTGTCAAGGGGAGAGGAATTCAATTCTTCTTCTTGAAGAGAGGAGCAGCTGAGATTTTGTGGACATATCTTTAAACCAGCTTGTTACCGGGAATGCTAGCCGCACCTCTGCCCTGAAAGAGAGGACTCTTGCCTTCTACTGATTAGGATAGTCAGTTGAGGCAGGGGTTCCACATGAGCAAAGGTTTATTATAGGAAGGAGGCTTGAAAGTGGAGATGGGAAGTACTTAATGCAATACTTGACCCCCAACTCCCTGAACAAAGGCTCTGCTGGGGTTTAACACATTTTTGATTTGGGAAAAAGCATCATGTTTATTCACAAGGATAAGCAGGGTTTTCCAGGAAGTGGCCTGTTTAGGTGAGGCCATGCTAATTGGGTGCGTGTGCAGCATTTTTAAAGATGGACGCCACCACAGAGGCTTCTGGTGGAGACAGACAAAACTTATTCTGGAATGTTGTGCGTGCGTACTTCTTCAGAACTCTGAGTCCAGCCCAGCCCAGGGGCTGGTGTTCTCCTTTGCTCCTTGGGAAAGGTCATCCGGCAAGGTGGGTAAAACCAGTTGGCCTGTTAAATATCTTAGAAGGAATACAGAAATCTCATGGGTGGTCTTTTTGCAGTAAACAGACTGTAAAAGGGCAAGATCTTGTGATTAATGTTTTCACATTCCAAGAGGCCCCCTAGACTCCCTGTCTCAGGGAGACTTAGAGTAAAGCAGCAGATGTTGGGGTTCACCACATCACAGCTGCTCAGGGAGCCTTTCTGGGAGGCTGGGGGGCTACAGTTTTTAGAAATCATCCACCTCACTGAGCGCCTACTGTATATGTCCCAGGCACTGGGGATACTATAGAGAACCAAAACCCCCTTTCTTTGAGATATAGTCTTTGCTTTCCTAGTAACTCCTTTTGAGAGACCTCTTAGACCCCTTGTCTCTGTCTCCTGGGGAATCTGAATGGCATGCAGAATGTGTGGGGCCAGACACATGAGGAGAAAGAGAAGCAAGAGGTGAGGCCACAAGAGTGGTTTGAGCTGCGGCTCATGAATGCTAAGGATTTAGTGCTTTATCCCAGAGCGGGAAAACCACTGGAGGTTTCTGAGCTGGGATGTTCATATACAATCAGATCTGGGTTAGATGGAGCGCTCTGATGACAGGGAGGAAGGCACGCCAGGCAACAAATCCCGTCTGGTATGATGAAGAGCCCAATGGAGACATGGGGACCTGTCAGAGGCTCCAGGAAGGGCACACTGGACTGAGCAGGCAGAGCAGTGTGATGAAAGCCCAAGCCAAATAGGCTGTTGCCTCTGTCTGTCCCGTGTGCTTGGTGTGGCGCTGTGTGATAATGCACTGGAACGCAAGATCTTTCTTAACCACACAGTCGGAGGTTCAAACCCACCAGCCACACCTCGGAAATCATATACAGGGTCACTATGAATTGAACATCCTTTGTGCCGGGTTTCCCTGAGTTTCAGAGTCCTCTGCATCATGTACATGGACTTTCCAAGGGCCCTGACCACCCTGTTAAAGTACCCACAGACAGTCTCTGTCACCTGCTTCTCTCAACTTTTCCGTTTCCTGCCTCACTCTGAGTTCCCTGAAATCCTGAGAGCATCTATCCCCGGGATCTGAAGCAGTTGAGTGTGCAGTCATTCACTGAGGCTATGAGTAGGGGGACACTTCCTTCAGGGCTGTCCCAGCCTTCTATTCTGCCCATCCAGCATCTCTCCCTCTCACGTACACATGCGTACACCCTGAACTTTGTCAGCTCACTCCCCTGCCTCAATACTCCAGTCATTGGTATTGGGGAAATGGACAGTGTCTTTTTCTCACAAAAGATGGGGCACTGCAGCCTTGTACAGATAAGGTTCTCTGCAGGGCCCACAGTGGCCACAGAGAAGTTTCTCGAGTCTCGGACCTGGCTGTGGCCGTGTAACTGCCCCACCCTATGGTAGGCCCAGCCCTTCCAGGGTTGTAGCCTGTGCTTCCCTACTGACTGTGTGTCCGCGTGGCTGATGCACTGCTATGACCCTGGGCAGCTAGCTGATCCCAGTGTCTGCAGGACCCACCAGGTGGGACACATCCCAGTTCCCCATCAGCGTCACCACCTCCTCACAGTCCAGTTACCCTCCTCACCTTCCCTCCCCGACCCTACTTGGGCACAGCCCACACCTGTGTTCCGAAGCTGCCCCCTGCTGGCTTGGCAGCAGCTGAGCCTGCCATCCCTTGTGGGCTTGAGCAGAATTGGGCCTTGAGATACCTGCCAGGTGCCTTTCTGCCTGGACAAAAGCATGCACCCACCCGACCAATGTGACATGCAAAGGGCCTTAGAGAGGTGCTCCCTGCTGGTGTCTAGTGGCCTAACTGGGGAGCATTTAGAGCTGGAGGGTGTCTAGGCTTTTTCTTAGAATAAGTATATAGGGAATTGTACTTATCAAAAGTAAGTACAGTTTGATGAACGTTTACAGACTAAACATATCCAGTAACTGGGCCTACAGTGAGCATCAGAACACAAGCAGAACCTGAGGGCTGAGCGCTCGCCCGACCCCTGGCATCACAGAGCAGCTTTGTGTCCGTGAACCTCATCTAGCTGGCACTGTGCCGCCATGCTGTCTGTGCCTGGCTCCGGTATGTTTACAGTTACGTGTGATCCTTGCTGTGCAGTGTTCCCTGATCACAGTTCTCATTGCCACATTGGGGGCTATTATGAAAAATGCTCAGTGAACAACAAGTCCCATCCCCCTGTACCTGTGACTGTGAGCATATATAAAAACAGGGTCTTTGTAGATATAATCAAGTTCAGATGAGTAGGGTGGGCCCAAATCCAGTGACTTATATGAAGAGAAAGTTTGGATGCAGACACCATATGAGCACATCACGTGATGATGGCAACAGAGATTAGAGAGATATATCTATAAGCAAAAGAATGCCAGGGATTGCTGGCAACCACTAGAAGTTAGGATGAGGCAAGGAAAGATTCTCCTCCCAGCCTTCAGAGATAGCATGGCCTTTCTGACATCTTGATTTGGGGCTCCTAGCCTCCAGGCTGTGAAATGATCAGTTTCAGTTCTTTTAAGCCACTGGGTTAATGATAATTTGTTTCAACAGCCCCAAGAAGCATACACAACCTTTCTCACTGACCTGTAATATTTTCCATTTTTTTCATTATAGCCCATATGATGAGTATGTAGCAGTATTGCAGTGTCAATCTGGAAGCCTTCTAAGAGAATTTACATATATATATGCATACGTACATACATATACATACATACATACATACATATATATATATATATATATATATATATATATATATATATATATATACATACATACATAATGTTTTTAACTACACAAATACCCTCCCCAGAGGGTCTGATAACTCTCCCTCTGAGAGCAAGTGCTTCTTGCCTGGTAAGACCAAGAAAAGGTGGGAAAGAGGTGCTTACTAGCTCTCTCAGCAGCCTGTCAATGTCAGTATAGCTCGGCTGAAGAGAAGAGCAGTGAAACATGGGGGAGGCGGGGGCAGAGCACCGCATAATTTTTCTCAGTCTCCTTGTTAATAAGGATGTGTCTCAGTGCTCCATAAAACCCTGCTGCTGGGGAAGTGGAGTTTACGTTTAACAGGACAGGTGGCTGTTTACGGATAACTGAGGACTAGGGCCATCAGCAAAGACTCAAGCTGACTTTGGACTAGTTGAGGGACAGACCGGAACTTTCCATTCTATAGAAGTAAGTTGACTGTATTGACAGTTGAAAAACTTCTAAGATGAAGGGGCTACACAGAGAAACCCATCATCCCTCTGCCTATGACGAATCTCTAAGGCCATGACTGCCAGCTTCTGGGTGGGACTATCTTCCCCTTGGTGACAGCCTTTCTGAAGTTCCGTGACCCATGAGAAAATGGGGGACAGTGCTGTCCTTGAATGCTGGCCCCAGGCATTATCTGCCTAGGACTGATGCCAGGGGCATATATGTGCCACCAGCAGCACCCTGGGAAAGTTGTGATGAGAAGTCAGTTGATGCCTACCCCTCCTTCCTCGCCCAGTGCTCTGTTCCTCCCCCCTGAAGGCATCCTGGGTTGGGCTCTGACCCACCACTCCTATGCCCACCAAAAAATAAATAAAGGAAAAACCCTTAGGCTGTGTACCTCAGAGCACCCCAGCCATCAGGAGGTCCAAAAGATACCTTCCACGTTATAGACTGAATTCTGTCCCCAGAAAATCTTTGATGTAAATCTTCACCTCTAGACCTATGGTTCTAATCCCATTTGAGAATGAGTTTTCTTTAGTATATTAATGAGACAGATTAGTGAAGGGTGTGTCCTGAGTCGGTTTCTTTTGGTTATAAAAGGAGTAGATAAGTAAAGGAACGGAGATAGGGAAGATTAGAGACCAGACCACATACATGTCACCAGGGAGCCAAGGAAGAGAAGCTTCTTCCACCAGAGCCAGTGACCTGATTCTGGACTTCTGGCCTTTGAAACTGAGGACGTACATTTCTGTTTGTTCAAGTCACCCATTTGGGATAGTTCCAATATAGAAAACTACCAGCACTAGAGAACTAAGACGCTCCATGTTCCACACAGTAACATGATTCCAGGATTTTAATCTCCACCTGGTGGATTTTTCCAACTGAATGGCCTCCTGGTTGAATGGTAGAAAGCTAGCAACTTGCCAGCACCAACACCACCCCCACCCCCACCCCAATCCCTCAACTAGACAGGCTTCCTTCTGCCATGTTTAATATCATGCTTAAGCTTTCACCTTGCTCCTTGTTGCTTTTTTTTTTTTCTTTAAAAATTTTTTTCTTTTTAAATTAAATTAAATGTTATTTACTTTATTATTGTTGTTGAAAATATAAACAGCAAAAATACAGCGACTCAGCAGTTTCTCCAATGAGTTGCATTGATTACAATCTTTGTAATGGTTGGTTGTATTGGCGTTTTCATTTCTGAGTTGCTCTTCCTCCTCCTCTATTAACATCGCTCCACTGTATAAGGGTCCTGTCCCATCTTTTGAATTGCTGTTATCATTTTGATTCTATATAGATGTTCTTGTTGTTGTTATGTGCCATCGAGTCGGTTCCGACCCATAGCGACCCTGTATAGGGTTTCCGAGGGTGTAAATCTTTACGGGAGTAGAAAGCCTCATCTTTCTCCCGTGGTGCAGCTGGTAGTTTCGAACCGCTGACCTTAAGGTTCGCAGCCCGATTCGTAACCACTACGCTACCAGAGCTGTTCAAAGCAAACATTTTTTACTCATGCTGTTGTTATCATGTGCCGTCGAGTCAGTTCCAACTCATAGCAACTTTGTATAGGGTTTCCAAGGACCTACTGGTTGGTTTTAAACGCCAGCCTTTTGGTTAGCAGTCCAGTGCTTATCCTACAGTGCCACACATACTAATTAAGCTGAACTGTTTTGGGGTTTAATAAAACTTCAGGGACACTTTTGATTGAAGGTTTAAAGATTGTCTCTGGGCAGTATTTTGAGGGGTTCATCCAACCTCAAAAACTCCAGGAGGTCTAGAGCCCATGAACATTTGAAATTCTGTTTTGCAGCTACCCACTTTTGATCAGGATTCTTCTATGAAATTTTTGATCAAAGTGTTCAGCATTGGTAGTCAGGTACCCTCCAGTTCTGACCTCATGGCAAAGGAGACAGTTGTTTTCTATTCTTTTTGTTTCCTCATGTTAAATCCCATTTGTTGAGAAGACCAGAAGGGTACCCCCTCTCAACACCATCCCTCAAGTTTCCCCTTGAAATTGTTTCAGGAACAGAAGTGACATCATCTTGGTAGAGTAGCCACCGTGTGGACATGCTGCTCCGCTCCTGCCCTGGCACCTAGCAGTGGGATCTAAAGTTACTCTTTCTGCTGAAGGTGTTCTTTCCACTGAAGCAAGTGAGCTGAAGGAGTGGGGGCAGGGGCAGGAGAGGCAATGTGTTGTGTTCTTTGAAGTTGTCCAAGACTTGGTGGTAGGCTTTTCTGACCAGCTTCTGACTAAACTGGTGGCTCCTTGGAGATTCTCTCAGTAGGGACTGGAGGTCTGGTCCATGGGTATGAACAGAACATTACAGAAGCTTCTTTTTGTCCAAAGCCATCCCAGAACCCATTGTCTAAATCAGCAGTTGTTTATTGGCCTAAAATTTAATGATTCAAACTTTGAGAGGTACAGAAATGAATAGGATGTGGTGGTTTGTGCTTATAATAAAACTTTAGAGTGGTACTTGGCATATAAACTGAAGTGATGAAGGAAATAAAACATAAATTTCTCTCTCTTTTTTCTCTTCACTAGTCCTTCCTCTTTCAACCCCTAATGCTATAGCCACAGGAGGGGAAGGGAGCTCTGCAAAGAGCATGGCTCCCAATGAGGTGTTCTCTCCAGTCAGTTGCTGGCTAGCTCCTGGGACAGGGCCTGAGAGCTTGCTTTGTCTCCTGTGAGGCATCAGGGAGGGCAGCCTGCCATCACTGTTGCTGCTGCTCCTGGCTTCAAGGGAGGGCTTCTGAGAGAGGGCCTAGGCCCCCTGAGGATATCAGTGAGGGTCAGCTCTCCAGCAGGCCTCTCCTTTATCACTGTCACCACCCAAGTGACTAGCCTTCCTCGGCTTCCCGAGTAGCCGCGGGAACAAAGTTCAGTTTAATTTGGCAAATGTTTACTGATGCCTTCTGTGTGCAAGGCAGGGAAGACTTGGCTCTGTCTGCATGCAGCCTCACAGGGAAGAAGACAAGCATACAGTGATTTTAAGTGCTTTCCAAAAGAGGTTGAAGACACGCAGCCTCTACTTCTGCATTTTCTCATGTGACTTTTGCCTAACTGCCTGTCCCGCTGGTGGCATCAGAACACTGTCATGAGCCTATGCTCTGTGACTGTGCCACGATCCAGTGCAGGCCTTGAAATGGTGGCAAGTGGAAGGGGTGGATTAGCCAAGACTGCTGGGTTGCAAATAACAGATGCCAACTCCAGTTACCTAGGGGAACAGGAGAGTTTGTCATGCTGAGGCAGGCCCTCCCAAAACTACGTTAGACTTGATCTAGCAAGAGGCAGAAAGGATTAAGAGAGTCCTCCAGACCCTCCGGTGTGTGTCTGACCTTCACACTCCAGCACCCAGACTGTCCCCTCCCTTTTCCTCGGGTGTAACCCAGCTGCCTCCCAGGCCGAGCAGGGCTCTACTCTCCTTGAGGCCCAGGCTCAGCCTCAGAGAGGAGGTGAGTCTACTTGACTCAGCGTGGGAGACACATACACGCACACACACAGCTACAGGCACCTCTGTGACTGGTGAGGAGGTGCCCACAGGAGAGAAGTCTGCCTACGTGGCTTTGGCAGAGGCTCTGAATGAAGAGAACAGTGATAGTTCTTTAGTTTTTATTCCAGCTATTGCACATGTTACTAGGGAGGAGAGCAAGGTCCATTGAAAGGATGTCCTGGAGCTGTTTGTTTCCTGTCGAAGTAGAGACATGCGATGGCACCAAGAGGAACTATCCTGCTTGCCCCTTCCCAGCCTCCCACTGCAGCGGTGAAACGGGGCTGTGGACTCTGAAGGCAACACTCGGCAAACATGCTAGAGACTGCCAAGCTGCAGTCACAGGCGCAGTGGATTTCGATGCCTCTGTGAGGACACCCCAGGGCAGAGCCACTGGCACAGCTGGCCATGCTGGCGGTGTAAGCCTGGGCCTCTGAGTCCCAGACAGCTGTCCTCAGGCTCTTTCAGTTCTCATCTCTTGGTTGCTAGGAAATCAGGGAGTGTTGGCCAAGATGAACTGCGCTCTGGAGGAGATGGCAGAAAGCCCATGAGTAAATAAATGGACCACTAAAGGCCGGGCTGGTAATGGCTGTGTAACATGAGATGCTTCTGTGGTAATAAAGGAGACATTTTGGAAACTGACCTTTTAACTTCAAATGGACCTGTCAATTAGAGGTAGCATTTCCGTGTCTGCCCCAGGATTAGATGGAACGCCTTACAAGAACCAGGTGACATTAGCTGAATCACTCTGCTTCCTACTCGGGGACTTGTGATGGGCAGGATGGCATGCGAAAAGCCGGTTCCGTTTCTGACGAGCCCTTCAGATATATATACTATGTGACCTTGTTTTTTAAAGAGTTTTGTGAACCAACCGAAATAAGTAGCTATCCTCTCGTGTTTTCACATAAAGGGATCTAGTGGTTGTGCGTTCCATGACATTTGCAGTTTGGGTTTGTGGAGACTGACATGGTAGACAGAACAACATAGTGAAGGGAGTCCAGGGCTGAGGGCAGCATGTATGGGTGCAATAAGTCTGCCAGGCACACGGCATGACCTTGGCAGGGCTCTCCCATTTGCGCCTCAAAAGGCTTGTCTGTCCAGTGGCAGGGCCGGGCACAGCAATTTGAGCTTTATCGCTCTCTGAAAGACCTTGCTTAGGAAGTGTACAGTCAACCTCTACTGCGTGGCACGTGCCACTTTGTTTGTGGACGGCCTGTGCCCAACGAGAGGTGCGATGATGGGTGTGCTCCCTGTGCCCAGCACCTGGCATAGTAATGAGGCAGCCGCTTCCTTCCTTTCTGTCACTAAGCCTCACCAAGAATGCATTTCCTTGCAATTGGAGAGATGCCTGCATTTTAGGGTATGCCATGTGTTGGGTGTTACTCCTCTGCTGTTTCTCCAAGGAAATAGTACGTGCTGAATTAAGTTTTATGTTTTGATTCACACTTAATAGCACCACTGAAAATTGGGAACTTGCCACACTTCGTGGCAGTACTCACAGGAAGAAAAGCGGTGTCCGTTTTACCAGTGAGATCGGTCTTCCAGTGTAGGGGACAGATACTGGCCCCTGTGACAGATGATACCTAACAGGCCTCCCTTTGCCCTCCGCCACCACCCCCAGGCCTGGGCAGACGCCTTCCGGAGCAGTCCAGACCTCACTGGTGTTGTGCACATATACGAGGAGTTAAAGAGAAAAGGGGTCGAGTTTCCTATGGCAGACTTGGACGCACTGTCTCCGATACACACACCACAGCGGGTAAGTGTCCAGCTGGCATGTTCTAGAAAGACCTATGGAAGAACTGGCCAGCTCACTGCCACCACCCTTCTGCTGTTCCATTTGAATTATTCAGCTTGTCATTACGCATTCATACAACTCAAGGGTGTTTCTTTTTAACAATAGGGGAATGCAGTCTGAGACAGCTGGTTGACGGGTGATTAAGGGAAAGCAGTGTCTCCCCCAGTTCTCACACTGGCTGAGGCAGATAGAATAGAGGGATGGTTTCAGGCAGTCCCCGGGGCCTGGCTGCTTGGATGGACCATTCATCCTGTGTGGGCCATTAGCAGCTGCCTTTCAAAGTCCCCTAGAATTTGGGCAGGAGCCCATCATCTGACCCTTGGTAACACCAGAACACCTCCACGTTAGCTGCTGCAGAGGCTGGATGTCACTGGCCACAGACAGCTGTGCACCTTAAATGGGTCTGAAGTTTATCTTGAACGGATAGTGTGAAGCATCAATCCAGAAACCTCCCTGGGGGGGCTGTTCCAATGCCAGTAGGAGTGCTAGCCCTATGAAGGGGTCGTTCTGTGCTTGGAAGTGTATGCATGCAAGTGATACCACTGCCCCCTTACAGTAAAGCCCACACTGGAACAGGTGGTGACCAGCTCCTGTGGGCCCAGGGAGAGTCAGAACAACTCCAGAATCTGGGAAATACACCTCCTCCCAGTTGACCTGGCCTTGCTGGTCCCCTTTGTGAAGTGGGCTTCCAGGCCTGCATGCCTGCACAGGTCTCTTATAAGACCAACTAAGGTAATGCCCAAGAAGTTAGCTATGATGCTCAAAGCACGAAGAATTATCCTTTCCAAACATTCTTACCATGCTTTGTGGAGTAATCATAACCTGTTTTATTCTTCTAATAATGACACAAAACAGTGTTGTGCCTGTGATCACAAAGGACGTTTGGTTTATGATATAATTACTGTTTATATTCACCTCCCTGAAGGCCAAAATATAATCGTAGCGTGCCCAGTAAGGACCCATGACTAGTGAGACCAGAGAGCAGCCCTGCAGCCTCCATGGTGGGCAGCATGACAGACCCCGCAGACAGAGCCTCCCTCTGCCTGGTGAGCTGCTCTGCTTCCCGGAGGAGACAGAGGGAGGCACGGTGGGAGCCCCACTGGACGTGGGGGGACAGTGCTCCCAGATGTTAGATGAGCCTTGTCAGGCCAACAGCAGTGCTAGGCTCCACCTCTCAGGCACTGGGAATGGGAGGTGCTGCCCAGGGTGGGGTAGGCACTCTGGCCCTGCCACCAGGCAGCTCGAATGAACAGAGGACTTTGCTGTTGCTGTGTCAGAGCCTCCCTGAAGTGGATCCAGCCTCAACCATGCCCTGGCCCCAGGCGCAGCCGAGGACCAGTGCCAGCTCCTATGCCTCGACTCCTGCTCCCTACTGTGCTCCACAGGCCTCGCCTCTGAGTGTGACTGGCCCCATCACAGCCAACTCAGAACAGGTACTTGCACACTTCCAGGGCTCAGGGAAGACAGCTGGCTGGCCACTTGGGTCTTTGCTCCCTAGATGGATACTGCAGTAGCTGGCATGCAGGGAGTGGTGGGTGAGGAGGAGGGCATGGGAATGGTCAGTCCTCCTCAGGGTGGGGCCTGACAGTCAGGAATGGCTTCCTTGAGCAGGTGCTGTTGGGCAGAAGCAGAGTCATAGAGCCCCCCCCCCACACACACACACACAGAGGACAGGCACTTGCTAGTCCTGAGGGCACCAAGATGGAAGGGTAGTCCCTTCTCTCGAGGGCACACAGGAGAGTGGGGGACAGATACAGACTGCCATGGTGCAGTGTGGTCTGCCTGTGGAGGAGCTGAGCCCAGCGGGCCAGGTGGCCAGGGGAGCTAATGCCACTCAGGGACCGTCAGGTGATGTGGGCAGTGTCTCCAGTAGCACAGGGAGCCTGGCTCCCTCAGACAGTGTATCGTGGGTCTGAAGAGTGTGTGCATGGCAGAGTTGTGGAGGGCCTTGGATGGGAGCTGCAGATGTGCCCTGTAAGAACTGAGAGCTGTCAGAGGCTCCTAAAGAGGCAAGTGACATGCTCAGAAGGTCGCGATGATGGTTGAAGCCAGGGCTAGTGTTAGTTTCCACCTTTATCCCTGACACCTGCCCATCGTCCCTGATCATTTCCTGATGACCTAACATAGTTCCAATAGAAACTAGATTTTTTTTAGGTGAAATATTATTGCTGTTTGGTGCTGTCAATTTAGTTCTGATGCCCAACAGAACTGCCCAGTCCTGCACCATTGCTGTTGCCACTGTCGGTCCTTCTCCTTTGGAATCTTCCTTATTTTCACTGATCCTCCATTTTTCCAAGCATGATGTCCCTGTCTAGGGACTGATCTCTCCTAACAACATGTCCAAAGTATGAGAAATGAAGTCTTGCCATACTTGCTTCTAAGGAACATTCTGGCTGTACTTCTTCCAATACAGATTTGTTTGTTTATCTGGCAGTCCACAATACTTTCAGTATTCTTCACCAACACCACAATTCAAATGCATCGATTCTACTACAGTCTTCCTTATTCTTTGTCCAATTTTCACATGCATATGAGGCAATTGAAAATGCCATGGGTCAAGTGCCACATAGTCTTTGTTCGTTAACACTTTACAGAGATGTTTTGCAGCAGATTTGCCTTATGCAATACATTGTTTGATTTCTTGTCTGATGCTTCCATGAGCATTAATGGTAGATCCAAGATAGCGTCAGTCTTTTCTCCATTTGTCTTGATGTTAATTACTGGCCCAGTTGTGAGGATTTTCATTTTCTTTACGTTGAGGTGATGCATTACATTATAATGAGATAAAATGTAGAGACTGGTTTTGAGATGAATCTGTAGAAATTTCATTAGTAAAAATTTGGGAATTTGTCAGACTTCAAAAAAATCTATCAAATGTTTATATTTTCAAAATCCTAATTTAATATTTGTGACAATGTCATCATGATAGGACCTCATCTAAACAAGGGGTCCAAGCAATTATGTCTGATGAATAGAAATTCAATGCTAAGCCATCAGTGACATTTCCTACCAGTTCTGAAAAGGGAGATGGTGTGTACAGGAGAGAGTGAGCCAGAGTCAGAGAGACCTGGGCCTGCATCCCTACTAGGCTGCTGACTACCAAGAGGCTGTGTTCAGCAGAACAGCGATGCCCTCCCCTCCTAGGGCAGGATGGGTGTGACAGCAAGTAGGAGAAGGACCTGCGCATCTCCCCATCTGTGAGCACTCAGAGGTTCACTGGCTGCACGCTGCCCTTCCTCATCACCCAGAGTGGCCAACATCTTTTCTGAGCGCGGCCATTGGGAAGGAGGGCTCTGACTACAAGCCCTGCATCTGTGAACAGGGAAAGCAGAGCCTCTTGAAAGCTGGACATTGATTGAGACCTTTCACCAACTTGCCTTACCAGTGAGGTCGGAGCTCTGGGACAGCCCTCCCAGCAGCTAGACAAGGAGAGGAGGCTCATGGGTGAGAGGGTATGGGGAGTGCAGGGTGCCCCCCTGAGGCAAGAAGATGGAAACAGAGATAAGTAGGTGCCCCAACAATACTGGCTAGAACATCTCAGCCATGACTGTGGAGAGGGCACTGTAGACCACTCACCAGGGGGAGCTCAGGACAGACACCAAGTCTCTTGGGACGTTAATCAGCTCCCTGAATGAGTACCGGAGCAGCTGCTGCACCTCCGCGATAGTACAGGAGTGGTGGGTGAGGAGGGGGACATGGCAGTGGTCAGGGCAGTCAAGAAGGCCTCCTCGAGCACTTGCTGTTTGGGCAGAGCCAGAGTCAGGAAGAGTGGTACCCACCCCAGCATCTAGATATTAGTGCAGAAGAAGGAATGAACAGGCACGTGTGCCAGGCCCTGAACTGGCATGTATGCACCTGAACCACAGATTATCACAGCACACCTTTCTGTAGGTGAGGAAACTGAGGCTCACAGAGGCGAGGTCATCTGTGGTGTCACTGCTACCGTCGAGCCCTGTTATCACCGGAGTCTTCTGGCATTCCTCCAGGTGTCCAGGGCGACTCTTGACATCATCCAGCAGCACTGGTCTTCCAACCTTGTGTGAGCATGTGTGTTGGGCAGACAGGCATTTCTGTGCATATTCATCCACAGTGTCTCATGGTGGGCAAGGGTACAGGACCTGACCTGAACGCAGGGACAGAGACTGAGAAGAGGCTTATGACTCCCAAAATGAGGAAGAGAAGACTCAAGCCTAGACCCAGAGCCAGGCTTTGGGACCTGTCCTTGGATGGGCAAGTTGGATCGTTTTCCTAGGGGGTGTGGTACCTCTGGGGTGCTGGATAGGTAGGCCCTCATTCTTGCTATATGAGAAACGCGAGGTTCATCCAGCCTCCCTGTACTGCAATAAGTGTTTTCTAGATGGATGAATGGATGGATGAATGGTCATCCAGCCAGCCTCCCAGAGGACTGTAGCAGAGTGTAAACTCTCAGGAGACTGAATCTATACCAACAAGGTTTATAAAGCAGGCTCTCAGCTCTGGAGGTCCTTAGAGACCATGCACTTCAGTACTTTCATTTTAAAGAGCAGAAATGGAGGCTTGAGGGGAAAGTTAAACATCCAGGCTCACTGAGTAAGGAGTCAGGACTGAAAACCAGTTGGGTTCCCCTGACCCAGTGCTCTCCCAGCATGAAGAGTCACTGCTGTGGTGTGTGGGCTGGTCATTGGGGACACAGGCTTTGGTGACCGGCGTTGTCTGAGATGAGCTCACCTGCCATCAGTGATGAGCTCACGCCTTCAGTGGTGCTACACCTGTGCACATGACTCGTGGTGACTCAGTTTCTCCTGGCATGCAATCAGAAATGTGACCTAGATTTCACAGTGAGTGACATTGCCACCTGCTTGGGGAGCCAGTGTGCTCTGATACTCTAGGGAAAAGTTGGCTGATCTCTCCTTCCTGCTTCCCTCCCTCCTGGCTCCCAACAGATCGCCCGGCTGCGGAGCGAACTCGATGTCGTTCGAGGAAACACAAAAGTCATGTCTGAGATGCTAACAGAAATGGTCCCTGGGCAGGAGGATTCATCTGATCTGGAGTTGCTCCAGGTGAGGAGGACCTTGTCTTGGGGAGCTCTGGGCCGGAGCCCCAGAGCAGGGGCCTGCCGGTGACACATGGGGCAGGCTCCCACTCAAGGCAGCAGCACTGAGCCCCACAGCTCAGTGGATATTGTCACTTAGCCTCATGTTTCCTGGACACTAAGACCAAAAATCAAACAAACGAAACCCACCGCTGTTGAGTTGATTTGGACCCAGTACAGAACCGCCCCTCCATTGGGTTTCTGAGACTCAGTCTTTAGAGAAGCAGAAATGCCTCAGCTTTCTGTTAGAGTGGTTGATGGGTTTGAACTGATGACCTTTCAGTTAGCAGCCCAACACTAACCCATTGTGCCACCAGGATTCCTGCAGTCCAACCAATAGCAATCATTTATTTACACCCCCAACTGGGGCCTTCCTTTCTTATTTTCCTTAGTAATATTTTTTACCTGATGATAAAATACATAGAATGTATGCCCATCCAAAGAAAAACAAAATACCATGAATAAAATCATAATTTTATTTAATCCCAGTATCTGTAAATAGCCACCGTTGGCATTTTGATGTATTTTCTCTCAGACCTTTATCGACGTATTTTAAAGGTATTTGAGAGCATGCTATGGGTACAGGTTTACAGTATAACTTAATTCCCTTAACGTTATATCATAAAGCTGATTGCAGCAGGATCTCTTAAACCTTTAATGCAGGTAGGAACCCCTCACTGAGGATTCTCAGACTGTGGGTTTTCGTCATGGTTCTGGGGGACTATTGCTAACTGCCTGCCCCACCTCTTGGTCCCTACACTTCTGGGAGCATGACAGAAATGGGCTTCAGGAGCAGGGAGCCCGTCGCCTAGAGATCAGGGCGCCTGTCGCAGGCCTGCTTCCCAGAGCAGCCGAGATCAGAACTGGAGACCAAATGTCTGTTTGCCCTGCCTCAGTAAACACTAGCCTTGGCAGACGTCCTTCTGGAGGGGTGGGGAAAGAGAACTGTAAACAGATCTTACCAATGGGAGACTAGGTGCTTAAGCAGACTGGCATGGCAAGGTGTGGGGTGCCTCAGGAGAGGCCTTTGCTGCTGGTTTTGTCTGCCATGTGCTCATCCTTTGGCTCCCAAAGGCAGCCTGTGTTAGCTTGGCTCTCATAACCCACCCTTCATGATGATGTTCTACCAGCTGCCTCCTGATCCCCAGCTGCTCCTTGTCTAACCCTGTCCTTCATAGGATGCAGGTCGGTGGGGGCCTACTGTAGGCCTCTCACAGAGCAAAGCCCTAGAGAGGACTAGATGAATAGCTGAATGCAGGAAACACACAGAGAAAGCACATTTTCAGAAACTGCAGTGTCAGGCTACTCATAAATCAAGACAAGACCCCTCAGCCCCGCCTGTGTGGGGAGAATGACCTCCCTCTGGATCCCTGGATCTGGCTAGGCTGTCTACTGCCACTCACCATGGGGCCCAGCACCTTGTAATGAGTGGTTGCTGGCCTCTGCTCCCAGCTGCGGAGGGCTTCTGCCAGACATTACCAAGAGGCGCAGGAATCTGAAGTCAGCACAGAAAACGAGAGTGACTCTTGAGGCGGCTTTGTGCAGTGTCAGTGCCGAAATTCCTGCTAGTGGGGCTTAGCAATGGGCAGAGCTGAGCTCCTGGCCTCACGGGGAGGGTGCTGAACAAAGCCGAGATGCTTCTAGGCAGCCCGAGCAGACCTACACAGCAAGAACATGATGTGTATGCACGTGAGCACATGTGTGTTTGTGTGACTGTGTTTCTTAAATAAGCCCATCAGCCAAGACAAGCAATCTAATCTCCTGGCATCGACTCAGCTTTAAAAAATAGGTTGCTTCCCATGATGTTTTTCTTCCTCTGTTTTGTTCCAACTCCAAGTCTACCAGCACTCCCTGCTATCTTATAAATCAAACCGAGAAAGAGCTATTCTGGATGCCAGTGGGAGGGCAGGAGGTTCTCCTTCAGCATGGGAAAGCCAGGATTTTCTCTGGCTGGTGGCATCAATCCTGTCATTGCTGACATTGTCCCTCCCTCCTCTTCTTGCCCTGGCAGTCTGGAGCCAGTTGGACAGGGTCTTCCCAAGCAACAAGCCTCCATCCGTGGGACCGTGCCTCAGTCTGCTTGAAGCGTGACGGGCTCAGAATGTGCCTCAGGTCCCCGTCAGTCAGGCTAGAGGGCAGCCAGCCTGCTCCTGTGTGGATGCTCTCAGAGCTGCTGGTGCTGGCCAGGGCCGTGGAAGTAATGCCCCAGCATGCACACTAACAGGACTGCCTCACAGAGTGCAGTGCTGGAGGGGGTCAGGGAGATGGCAGTACAGGGACACACTGACCTGTAGAGCAGCAGGGACACTGAAGGTGCGAGCCATTGGCCTGAGGGTCCCCAGGGGTCAGCCCTAGGATACCAGCCAAACGAGCCAGCCACCAGTCCTGGTGGGGAGTCCTGGTGAGGAGTCCTGGTGTGGTGCTGTGGGTTAATACACTGCATAGCACTGCACTGCAAAGTCAGTTTGAACCACAAGGTCAGCGGTTCAAGCTCACCAGCCATACCTCAGAAACCCTATACAGGGTCGCTATGACTCAACAGCACTTAACAACAGTCCTGGTGTGCTATACGAGAAGCACTGGACCACAAGGTCATTTGAATTGCACAGTCGGCAGTTCAAACTCACCAGCTGCTCCTCCGAAACACTGTACAGGGTTGCTATGAATTAGAACTGATTCCACAGCACTTAACAACAAAAAACAAGTCCAACCCCACCCACACTCAAGTTTCCTCCTCAGTATCTTGCCTACTGCCTGCTTGACAGTTCCAGACCTCCCCTGTGTGACCACAGGCTGTTTTTGGCAGCCTATGGAGTCACTGCGTTAAAACATGCTTCTTTGTCGAGTTGATTCCGACCCACAGCGACCCTGTATAGGGTTTCTGAGGAGCAGCTGGTGAGCTTGAGCTGCCAACCTTGCAGTTCAGATGGCTTTGCAGTCTGCCGCATTAACCCACAGTGCCACACATGGACTTTAGTATCGCTTGGATTCAAATCTTGACCATACTAGGAGCTTTGACTACAGACAAGTCACTTGATGTAAGTCTTGATCCTGTCCCTCTATTATTGTTATTGTTAAGTGCCATCCAATCAGTTCTGACCCATACTGACCCTGTATAGGGTTTCCGAGGAATGGTTGGTGAGCTTGAACTGCCGACCTTGTGAAACAACCCGACTTTGCAGTCCAGTGCATTAACCCACAGCGCCATACCAGGACTCCATAATACCTACAGCACCTGGTATTCCCAGGCAGTCTCCCATCCAAGTACTAACCAGACCCAACCCTGCTTAGCTTCTGAGATCAGACAAGACCATACACATTCAGGGTGATAGAACTGTAGACAAATCCCTCTATAGATGAGAAGTAATCATTCTTCTTTGTAAGGACTGAAAATCATACAAAGAAGTCAAAAAACATTGGTATTGGTTTTCAGGTCATACGTGCCTGGTATCTTAGTTCCAATAGGAACTTCAAAAAAGATCCAGTCAAAATAGTGACTTACCAGGGAATCTGCTGAGCCAGTTAAATTCAAGACAGAGAGGTCAGCTCAGAAAGTTAATAGTGATAGTCTCTTGGGATTCCAAAGGAGTACTCCTGATAGATTTTCTTGAAGGACGTAGGCCAATCACTGGGGCTTATTAAAAGTTTTAAGACAATTGAAAATTGCATTGGTTAGAAAAAGACCAGGAAAGTTGTGCAGAGGAATTTTTTCTTCCCATCATGACAGTGTACTTGCTCTTATACAGGGCACCAAAGGGCTGTCTTAGAGGAAATTTCATCGGGAAACCTTACATCTTCCACCCTACATCCCTGATCTTGCTCCTTCAGACTTCTTTTTATTTCCCAGACTCAAAAACATTGAAATGAAAACACAAATTTAAGTACCTAGTTGTTGTTGTTGTTGTTAAGTGCCATCAAGTCAGTACCAACTCATGTTGTTGTTGTTAAGTGCTGTTGAGTTGGTTCCGACCCATAGCGACCCTGAATAGGGTTTCCAAGGAGCAGCTGGTGAGCTCGAACCGCCAACCTTGCAGTTCAAATGGCTTTACAGTCTCACACATTAACCCACAGCGCCACACCTGGACATAGTGACCCTGTGTAGGGTTTTCAAGGAGCTACGGGTGAGCTTGAACCTCTTACTTTGTGGTTCAAAGCCACCTTGCATCCAGCTCATTAATCCACAAGCGTCACACCAGGAGTCCAGTACCTAGAGGATGCCCAAAAAATGGGTGTTTTGGCATCGTGTAAATCAGAGAACACGAATTCTTTGGGAAAGGGTTAGAGATGGAGCACCACCTTCCGAAGTGTGTGGAGGAGGTGCTGTAAAATAATAGCATCACATTTTGATATTTTTATTTAAGAAAAGTTTCTATGATTGTGTAGCAACACTATTTTTTAAGAAAACTGTTGTGAATTGGGTGACTGTTTACAGAGCAGATCAGTTTTCCATTCAACAGTTTATGCACCTTTAGTTTCATCCCACTGATTACAGTCCCCACAATGGAGCCCACTTATCCCACTTCCTCCCTGTTTTTACTGTTTCTATTCCTCCTCTGTTCCTACCCCTCTGAACTTTGTCCTCAGGTAAATGCTGCCCTTTTCATTTCAAATGGTCTGTTATTCTAAGGTGTACCTACCCCATTACTGCTATTGTTGCCCTTGTTGAAACAAACTCATCCTCATGGCTGAAAATTGAACCATGAGGATGAGTTTGTTTCCAGACCTAAAGGGGTTTCCACTAGTCCCTATCTGACCAGTAAACCTGGCCATTTTTTTGTAATTTTGAGTTTTCTTCTACATAGCTTTCCCACTCACTCCAGGACCTTCTAATGTGACTCCTTTCAGAGCAGTTAGTAGCGGTAGCCGGGCACCATCTAGTTCTCATCTCAGTGTCCTGGTGACTGATGTTTGTGTGGTCCATTAGAGTAATTGTTCCCATGTTGTCTTCACTTTCCATCACTCTCTCCT